ACTTGCAATTCGGCAAATCTTGGCGTTGTCCGAGGCTTCGCAATGTATGAACAAGGATTATGGTTGTTCAACATATGTTGTATCTTTTCAACCACACATCTATCTAAAAGTTCACTTTCACACATTCGGTTTCAACTTCATGCTCAGTGTCATATATATCCGCTTGTAAAAATCGCGGTCTGTTTCCTTCATGTGGTAAAAGTCCACCAATCTTATGATATAATGCACCTTGAGCACGAAATGTGTAAATCCCACGGCCACCAATATTTATTCTTTCATCCACGTGTACTCCCATTGAAGTGAATGCAAATGCGTGATTGTAAGCTCGAATATTTTGCCTAAAGTGTCTACCCTCATTTGTTTGGTCAGAGAAAAGAGCAACCATTTCTGGTGGAGACTGTATTGGGGGTAAAGCAACTCTTCCTTTCAAGCAACACATATTCAAAGTTTCTCGAGTAAACAATTGTGCGTAGCAGTACGGACATGTGGTTGGAGCAGGTAAGCGGTAACCTAGGATACCCCGATTCTCATTATAATTTCTAGCACAATTGTGGTTTCTTCTTCCTCTACTTTGCCGCACATGACGATTGGTTCTAGTTGCATGTTCTTCTTCTGATATTTGTACATGAATATCCAACACTCAGTATAAGAATTTCCTTTGTAACTAATAGTATATCTATATATAGATAGAATTATATACTAAGCTCACCATGGGGAACAGTTGAGAGCATCCCATCATATATTGTGACCTATTCGAATGTGTCAATTGGCCTATATGAGTACGCATTCTAGCAGAAGTTTGGTCATCACGATTTGTGATATCTGACAGAACCCTTGAACTCGCGCTTTCATGCTCAATTTGTTCTAATAAATACATCACATTATAATATGATTAGTTAAAAAATTAATGTTTAATATTTAATATATTTAGTTGTGGTCTAATATTTTGTAAGACTACCACTAAAAATAACTACAACATTGAGATCAATATGAGAGTACGAACAAAAGAATAAAATGAGATTTCAATGCACAAAATAGTGTTCTAAAAATTACCTAATTTTTATAGTGTGAAACAAATACAAATAAAGAAATTTAAATAAATACCTGGAATTTGTTGTTGTATATTACTGGGGTTGACCTCAACATCATAGTTAGCCAAATGAACTCGTTCTTGTATATTACTGGGACCTACTTGTTGCATAGTTAAAAAAAATAGAAATTAGATGTTTTTAATTTTTTTAATTATGAGTTTAAGAAAAAATAATATGCAATAAATACCAGGAATTTCTTGTTGTATGTTACTGGGGGATGTCATAGTATGATCATCACTTGGAGTTGAAATTTGTTGTCTTTTTTCTTGTGCTATTAGACGTCGTCGAGCTAGATATCTTTGACGTTCTTCAGGACTCAATGATTGACGCCATTGTCTTGTACGACTTTGAGCACGCTCCATGGAAAAATTTATCTAAAAAATTAATAAACATAATGAACCTAAATAGAATACAAATTTTGTGACATTCCACAAATACGAAAAGGTGTATACAGATGCCTACGAACAGAAGAAAACAAAAGCTTTATGTTCTACATGTCCTCCATTTGTTGTATTCTTTTTTCTCCATTTCTATTTTATTTGATTTATAAATACATTCAGTTCTCTTTTAATTGGCTATATACTACATGTGAGAGGAGCGCACAACGGGCGTCTTACACATTTGTCATATTTAACACACGCCAAGAATAAAACTAAGAAAAATATTACTCTTTATCTTGATAGATTAAAAAACATGTATTAGCATGTCCTAACATATGATTCTGTTTTGAGGGTCTAATTTGTCAATATTTGAAAGACACTCTTGTGCTCTCTTCAAAACAATAGGCAAGACAACAATATTGTTGGGCACTTTATCTTTGTTCAATCGCATCTTCTCGGTATCTCCATTAGCCGTTAAAACCTTCTCTATTAGAAGCAACTTGTCCTACAGCTGCATAATATGCTCGTATTAAATGGTTCAATAACAATTGGAGTGTTGTCAAATGGCATGTAGGCATACTCAATTGAAGGTGAGGTTCTGATCATGACAGAGTGCAAGAAATCCTGCATCAGGTTCAACCAAAGCACCAATTAAAAGGCAAAAAGCTATGTAATAAATTTTAGCTGGTGTTTGTGCTAAAACTTTAATCCATCGGAACCACAAAGGAACCTAAAAAAGTAGGAACAACCACATTAAGCTATAAAAACGATAATTTTTCATTTTAAGTTTTTACTTATACATGCACTAGCCTCTTGCACGCACTAACGTGCGTGTGAGAGGCATTTTTGCATCACGGGCGCTACGCGCCCCACAAATGTGTTATTTTAAATATTCTTATATTTCTTAAGTGGTTATTTTATAAATTGTGGGTGTGTGTTCATCACAACAATTTCTCATTATTTTCAATCATCTCCAAAGAATTGCGTAAAAATTATTTAAAAATTAATTGAATGCAAATATGTGATTAAAACTGAAAATGGAGAGAGAATGCAAATTGAAAACATGAATTACTAACCCAATAAAATTTTCGATTTTAGGAAAAGAATTTTTTCTGAAAATAATTTTCACCCTAAAATTCATCACCATCTATTTGTATAAACAATGAAGAAGCAAAACTGAAGAGAACTGGTTGGATTAATTGGAACACTGCCAATTTCATTGATCCTTCTTCCCATGCGAATAAGAAATCAAATTGAGTATCTAATTATAGCTTTAAATGTAAACAAACAAATTAAAAGGCTAACTAAAACTATTAAAGCAAAAAACAACATTAATTTAAATTTTGAACAACCTGATTTCTGTATTTTTCTTCTTTGGTTCTGCAAAGATATGAAAAGATGAAAATCAACTTATTCCTTTTATCTGTTGCGTAACTTGCATTACCAACATTCACAAAGAAAGATTCATGTAGGAAAACTACAGTTTTGAAGTTAAATTGGGTTTTAATGAATAAATTTAGACAACGTCTGTCCACAAACACATTGATCTCTAAGACATCAAATGATATGAATTACAAAGAACAGGAATAAAATGGGTTCTATCACAGAAATGAACAACATATAAGGCAATAATTGTGCAAATGGTTCTCTGCAAGTGCAGGCTGTGCAGGCCATGAGATTTAGTTGCGTACGTTCACAGCAACACCAATGGTTCTTCCATGCTTGAAAATATAGACGGATTACTTCCAAACAGAAATACATTGGCATCAGATACGTGTGAAATCAAAGCCATGCTTGCCACCCATTTGCTTGCACTTGGTGCTTTAGATTTTCATGGTTAATCTGCAAGTAATGATGATAAAATAAGAAGTCTAACTATAATGCACAATCCTAAATATAAAGGTTGTAAGCAATTTAACCTAAATACCTTTAACTTTGACAATTTTCTGATGGCAATACTTTTACTCCAGATACTTTTAGAATACTGAAAGATAAATAATTTGTCAAATTTGAGATAACAAATTGTAATCATGTTTACAAAATTAAATAGTAAGAAATGTTACCTTAATCTTGTACTTCAACCTTTGTACTTTGCGACGGGTGTGATGCTTGTAAAACTGACAAAAAAATGCAATTTTATTTCTATTTGAAAATTGAATGCAATTTGAATTTCCAGTATACTTCCGTATGAAAATAAGAGAATACTTACCGTATTTAGAAAAGTTGTTTGGTCACTATTAATCTTTTTCCTGCGCCCATAATTTTTTTTTTATAATTCGAGATAATTAATTTGTAGATTTTTTTTAATTTTATAATTTGAGATAATTAATTTGTAGAATGATATAGACAATGCCATTAAAAATAAATAGGTAAGAAATGGTGTTGTACCTAATTTGTTGGACTTTATTCCAAATTCGTATGATGCAAGGAGTTGTTGAAGGTTTTAATTCTTCTACAGCCTTTTTCATGCGCCACCTATATATTGAAGATACATATAATGTTAGAATTTTTTGTAACAAATTTAATAAAGAATTTAGAATACATACTGCTCATGCTTCTTTTTTTTCCACTCTTTGAGAATCAGTTGGCTTAGATCAGTAGTTTTTACTCCGACAGATATCTCCCACCCAGGTGTAAAAATAGAGACACGTCTGTTTGTGATCTTATCAATAGGTAGTTCCTTCTCCATTTTTTTGTGGGTGTTCTTGTAAATATCCTGAGAATGAAAACAAATAATTTTTTTAATTTCGATAGCACACGTATAGGACATCAAGATAATCAAAATTGAAACTCATAATCTAACCAAAATTTAAAAATCACACAATGGAAATTTCAAAGGAAGAAGTTTAAAAAACTAAAATTGACTTAGAAATACTAAATACAAACTCATATATACATCCTGAAAGCTGCAGTAGACCGCATCAAATTCATCACCTAAAAGATAAACCGTAAAAAAAAACCTAAAAACTGAAAAGGTAAATTTAGATTGAGATTAACCCAAAGTTACTCAAACCTTTGAACTTTGGAGCCTAATAGAATCGTCTTGACCCTATAACAAAAATGAGAGAGAAAGAATAAGAAAATTGAAATAAAAAGCACCAAGATTTTAACCACAAAAGCTATAGCATATACGTTTCAAAGGCCCGTGAAGAAAATAAAAAAAATGAAAGCCTAACCTATCAATTGATTTATTTGATAAGATAAGGGAAGAAAAACCTGCAGAGAACAAAAACCACAATCAAACCACTACAATTAACGTGCAGAATTTTCAATAATCCTGTGAAAATGCATGAGAAGAATAAGGAATAAGAAGCATTTTGATAGAGAACAAAACACACAAATTTAATAATTGAGAACTACAGAACTACCAGTTCTTATTGGTTTTTCGCCAATTTGATCTTCTCCTTCAGACTCTAGCATAACATTTTGAATTTGTTCTCTTGAGGTTATTTTATTTCGTGTTTTATTTACATGTCCCGCAAAACCGGTTCCTCTCCCACGTTTGCTTTATTTTCATGCACGTTCGCATTTATCGTTCTTCAAAACTGTTTCCTTCACACACTTCAAGCCTGCAACTGCTGAATAGCAGTTCTATTCTAAAAAACCAAAGCACGCAGCCACTTCCTCTCTCCCTGATGTCTAGATTTGCACACGCAGTACATGAGCAGTTTCCCAAACATAATCCCTTGCATTCTTTAAGGCTCGTGCTTTTATCAAACCACGAGGTTGATGTGTCTGGCAATTTGATCCCACTGTACTTTACGAAGCCATCTCCATGGCTGCAGGCCAACGGAGTCCTTCGAACACATCCATCAGACCAATATCCCGAATTCCAATCTTTCAAAGATTTTGGCACAAATCCCTTCAAGCATGCACATATTGCAGAGTTACCATTGAAACTGCAACTAGAAAATGGACCACATAAGGCATAATTGTCACACCGATCTGCTTGGAAGGAATGTTCCCAACTGTGTGTTTGGTACACCCATGTGAACTTCTCTGTGACTCCTAATGGGTTCAATACATATCTCGAGAACACTGACATGTTCCGGAGCCTGTACTTCGAAGAGACCTCATCCTTGTTCATCACAAATTCAATCCCAGATATTGAATTTGGTTCTCTGACACCATATCCGGATCCTGTAAAATAAAGGCCATTCCATGACCCTCCTCTGCTGTGTATCTTAGATCCTTTCATTATAAAAAATTGTGGTAAGCCACGCAGATCCACTCGTTCCGAAAACTCTCCCGGAGCAGGATCTTCTGTGCTCTTCCAAGACGAGAGATACCTCTCTAAACCGGCAACCAAGTCCCAACCAAGCTTCATTTCTGGTAGGTATGTGTCACAAGGATAATCAAAACTCTGCCACAAGAAGTTATCCGGGTCAGTTTCTTTCCCATCTTGCACCACAAGATTTCCAGAATCCAATAGTTGCGATACTGGATTCCCCGCAATTCTTGAAGAATTCGATGACCACACCATGCTGTTTGAGCTATTGAGAAGGACTAGAACTCCTTGCTCAGTGAGCTTCAAAAGTCCCGAAGAATCACCAAGTGGTGTTTCTCTGTTGGCTACCCACACAACTGCATCAGTAGAATCAGTGTACCATATTCCCACGTACCGGCTTTTCGATTTACCAGGGCTGAAGAATCCCATTTCATAGCTTCCACCTACTGAAACCAGAGTTTCGCCATCTCTTATATATCGACTCGGAGTGATTGTGCCCCGTGCAGTTGCAGCTGAGATTCTTAGAAGGGAGAATAAGAAGAACAAGCACGTAAAAAAGCTTGTCAAGGCTTGCATGGTTGTTCTGAGATTGCATACTTTACCCAAAGAAATTAATACAAAAATTATACAGAGAAGATGGACCGTTGGCCCAAAGAAAAATCTAAGTAAATTAAATGATTTGGCTTTCTTAATTGACCGGACAACTTTGGTTTGGAAAGAAAGTCAGGACTATTTACAATTCGGACCCAACTAAGTTGACAGCCGATGGTAACACTGATCACATATTCAATGGTCGATTGCCAAAGAAATTCATATGACAAATTCCTCTCCCCCAGTTGTCATGAAACAATAAGTCACTTATTAAATCATAAAATCAATAGATTCAACTGTTGAACAATGTATCTGTGCACACGTCAAACTTTTATGTGTCAAAATTAAATGACATCTATGGTGAATTGTTGAAATTCATACCATAGCGTTATGCAAACGATCATTTGATAGCATCTTGTCTTCAATTTATTTGGGGAGGTTACAAGTTCAAATCTCAAAGAGAAATGTGTTCTAATTTTAAAGAGGAGTGTCAACAATCTTCTTATTTGAAATTTTTTATTCTACATTACTAACTCTCATTTTCATCGTGTAATGTTACACAATAGTCCAAACTGTAGATTTTTTAAATCATTCTTCAAAGTTCAAATCTAATAAAAATCAAACAATTTTAAGATCGTTTAGTCATTTAACAATTATCAAATAAATAAACAAATTGTGATTCTATTAAACATTAAAATTTTGAGAACGTCAATCAAAATATAAAACCATCTTTTATTTTACTCTTACAAAGTCTTACAAAAAGGAAAAAGAACAAACAAAACAAAATAAAATGCAATCGGATGGAATGTTGTTCCATTCCATGCGTAAAATAATGCTAATAAATCTACGGGGCATGTCGTTTCTTGCCTAGAGAGTCATCGTCCACTTACTACTTGTCCTGGCATGAAGAAACGGTACTTCTCAACTGCTTTTCAGTACTAGGCCTATAAAAATGATAGAGGCCTGATGGGTCGGCCTAAAGCCCAACCTTATTTTTAAGTGGTGGGCTAGCCGGATACATTTTCAAAGTCGGGCTTTATCCAACCCGATTTTAGATGGGCAGGGCCTAAGCCTTGCCTTTTAAGCCCTGACCCTTATCTTAGACTACTCAATACGCCCCATGTACTTTAAATATTTTTTTTTGAACAAACGACACTAACAGGGAAGGGGTCTTTCTTTAAATTAATTAACTTTTTTTCTAATATTTATATAATTGAATTGATTATATTAACCAAATAAATATCTTAGTTCAAATAGTAATTTACAACTAATAAAAGAAAAAAAATCCTAGGTTGATCTCTCAAACTTTACTATTTTTTATAGTTAAATGAACATGATTAAGGGGCCAAAAATTAGGATGGAATGGGCGGCCTGCTCATAGGCTCGAATTTTTAGGTTCATGGGCTAGGGCAGGGCCTTACATATTTGCCATTGGGCTAGCCCGATCTACCCTATTTATTTCCTATGTCCCAAACATTTGGGGCCGATTAGGGCTTAGGCCTTGAGGGCCGAGCCGGCCTGACCCAATTTACAAGTCCATGAATCAGTACCATGTCATTCATACCAATATTTCTATTTCAGCAAACAAAATTTGCAATGTTTCTATAATAGTTAATTTCCCCCAAAAAATTATACAAACAGATATTTGACAAAACTAATTATACAGAAAGAGAACAAATTATACATAATGATATTTGGCTTTTCGGTTGAAAATTATTGTTACTGTTAATGCTAATTTGAACATTTTAATATTTTCTTTGAAAAAGAATTAATGCATATTACTTTAAAATTTCTGTTTAAAATATAAGTATTTCTGTCGTACAAACATATTGTAAAAGATAAAAACCCCAAGGGTTCCAAGACTCTCACAATTCCTTAAACCTTCTCTTTTCACAAACCTCCACCGCTCCGTTTGCTCTTCTTCTTCAATACCATCACTACGCACCTCCCCAAAACCCCAAATCCCTCTCTTTCTACGGCCGCCCACCCACTCAGCCACCGCCTCCGACCTTCAAAAATGGCACGACTGGGCCAACACCCTCGCTTCATCTGTTGGGTCAACGTTCGTCTACTTGGACAACGGTGCGGACTCAACCCTTCTTCGTAGAGCTCAAATGGTTCGTGGAGGACGCAATTGAAGAACCCGAAAATGTTGATAACAATGGGGGACGCGTTAGGCTGAGGGTGGAAATTGAGGAGCTTTATATGTTGTGGAAGCAGAGGGTTGAGGAGAGGAGGCATTTTCAGTATGTTGTCGGGTGCGAGCATTGGAGGGACTTGGTGTTGTGTGTTGAAGAAGGGGTTTTGATTCCGAGGCCGGAGACTGAGCTCATTGTTGATTTGGTGGGGGGTGTGGTTTTGGGGAATGATGGGTTGTGGGCTGATTTGGGGACGGGGAGCGGCGCCATTGCGATTGGGATTGTGAGGGTTTTGGGGAGTGGTGGGAGAGTCATTGCTACGGATTTGAGTCCCGCGGCAATTGGGGTTGCAGCTTTTAATGTGCAGGGGTATGGTTTGCAGGTTAGTGTTTAAAGATTAAGTTATCTTGGTTTGAACCATTAAAGGATGTGGAAGGTAAACTCTCAGGTTTTGTGAGTAATCCACCTTACGTACCAAAGTGCCAATGTATCAGGGCTGCAAGCTGAAGTTGGACGGCATGAACCTAGAGTTGCATTGGACGGTGGTTTCAATGGTATGGATGATCTTTTACATCTTTGCAAAGGGGCTGCTTTTATGTTGAAACCTGGTGGATTCTTTGCGTTCGAAGTATCTATTTTTGCGTTTGCTAAATGTTCAAAGTGTTATCATTTGCCTTTCAAAAGTCAGTTATTTTATATTTTTATGTTGATAGAGATCAGCTGAAGTACAATCAACATAGATGGTTAAAAACTAGTTTGTATGCCGTAAATTGTGTAGTCTAGGCTTCAGATCCCGTCCATTCCTCTTTTTGCTAGAACTTTAGAAAGCAAAATGAGGTCCGAGTGAAAGCAAAACACTCTGTTTCAAATTGCAGCTACGAGGTGCCTCATGAGAAAGACATCGTGATATGCATTTACTGCTTTCAGCTAGTTTGTAATTGATCTAATCTCTCTTCCCCTTCAATCTTATGATGTTGCAGACGAATGGCGAGGAGCAGTGCAAGTATCTTGTAGAGTACATGGAAAACGATGCTGGAGGCAGCTTTTGTAATTTGAACGTGGTTCCCGATTTTGCTGGTATTAATAGATTTGTTACTGGAATCCGAGTCACCCTTTCTTTTACTCTTAGATATACAACAACAACAAAGCCTTTTACTCTTAGATATAAACAAGAAATAATCAAAATTTGTTTATGAGTAAGATTGAGATTAGGCGGAAGTGTTATGTCTATACGCTAGTTTTCTAGTACTAGAGATCCTTCTTTAATTTTCTAAGTTCCAAGTTTCCTACATTGCTGCTAGCACAATCTCCTATTTGTTTGACAATGATATAGATTGTTTTTCTTCTTTGGTGGAGAATAGCCAATAAAATGATAGCATGTTTACGTATTTAGAATAGGAAAAGTCATGTTTACTTACTTGGACGGAAAAAGTCGCGAATTGAACAAGTTGGAATAACTCCATTATGCATGGTAACGTAGAGCCCACGTACTTTCATTTCCGAATGCGTTATCAAACACAACGAAAGTAAAAAATAACTCAATTACGCATTCCATGAAAGTAACACTAAAATAAACGGAGTAAAAATTTTATTGAGGAGATAAATATGTACAAAAAGTTGAACAGTTGGTGGTGGCTTTTCATCCGTAGAACACTTTGAGATTAACATATGTCAGATGTGATTGGAAGTATGGGGTTAAAGTAAATGTGCAACAAGAGCAACAAAAACCTGAGCTCTTATGCCTGAAATCAGGCCCTAACCCTTTGGGTCGAGATACAAAGCGTGTCAATCTTTGGTCTTAATTTTCAAGACACTCAACCATTCCCCTTCTTTGTTAAGCACCAACCTTCGTTTGGTGACACTAGCAACAAACCTATTAATCAGTATCTTGACAAATCCTCACTACATCCTGAAAAATCATTTGCTCTTTCTTGAGATGGGAACATCTTCCGGCATAGCCCTCTTAAGCTGCTCAGCATGACGTTCTTCGCGATTGCCTCTTCACTCTCTGGGGCAACTTGAATGGACTCCAGCTCTTTCGGCGTTTAGAGGAGGACTCACAAAAAAGAGGCCAGAGGCCAGAGCTTGCTGAAGCCACACCTCAAATTCTTCTTCATCTTCATCCATCATTTCAGCATCCAAATCCCACGGGAATCTACTTGAGTTGGATCTTTGAGTTTTCTCCAAACCAACCATGTTAACGTGGAAGCTAGGCCTATGAGTGTTGGGCCTGCACGCCATTCCCTGCATGGAACAAGTTGAAGCGATAAGATACCAACCTCGTTTCTCCCTGGCACAAAGTAGAGATGCACACCAAAAACATAATCATGGATCAAGGGTACTTGTTCTATTAGTCCAAGGAACAATTAAAAGTCCTTCCAATATAGTGTCTTCTGTGCTACAAGGTTCAGTAGGATGTCTGCCAGGTAACTGGGGTCCGCTCGCTCACTGTTCTACTCAAATTTGAATACTTTCCAGATCAAGTTTTAAATAAGAATGATGCTTTTGAGGCAATTTGCCTGATTCATGTAATTTTGCAGTTCCACCGCTGTATAGGGTACAAAACATGCAGACTGTAGAACAAGGACAAGCTTGCAGAACTTAGATATTATATCCTGATTAAAACCATTACCTGACAAATAGCCCATTCAGATACATCAAAGATTTTGCTCTCAGCACAGACGAAGGCCCGTGGTATTTCCACCTAAATGAAAAGAAAAAAAAACAACAAACAAAGACAACAAAAATCATAAGGGATGCTTAAATGTACATGTCTGCAACGAGGGAAATGATTCAGCTTAACAAATCATGCAAATCAGTGTTATGAAGATATTAACATGCATTATAGAAACAGGGAATGCGTGTGAAAGTCACGAGAGCCCTTGAAAGCTGGATCTCATCCCTGAAAGTCACGAGAGCACCATTTAAGCATTTTGAATTCTGAACTTCTAACTCTCAAATTCCTACCTTTATTTATAGTCATTTCTGCAGTTTCTGACATGCAACTCGCTTCAGTGAAAAATTGTTTTGTTTGTTTAACGCATTGATAAATGCATGTGAGTGAGGACAGCAGAACCATTTGCATAGGGTGAGAAAAAGGTGTTCAGGTAAAAACTCTCAAGGTATACACAATTAAGCTTGGAAAAAATACACAAAAAGTACTGTGTAAAATACCTTATGTGGCCTATTAAATACTAAAGTTCCTTTGTACTCAACCCATCCATCTCCATCCTTTGCTTGGTGATATTGACAGCAATCCTAATTGCACAATGGATCCAATACATCAGATGCATACAGCAATGATGCAAAAAAAATGAGAAAAGTAACATATTTGACATTGAAATTAGTTAAAAAGAACAGCAACAAATAGAGAATAATGTCAGACCTGACACCATCTAGCCTTGGCCTTGCTTCTGTTTGTGCATATCCATATATGCGAATTTCCACACTTAGTGCACTGTATACGTCTCGACTCTTCAGAAAAATAATCTGGACCATCCTGCTTATACACAATTAAATAGGGGTTATATAACAAAAGCAGTAAATTGACTCGGAAAAATGACCCAGTGAAATACAGATTTATCATCGGACAATAAGATGTGGAAGTACAATGCAGACTGCTATAAAAAAAGATAGCTTCTTCTACATTGCATAATTGATATAAATTGGAAATTATGCACCATAGAAAATTTAATTAATATATTTTGAATTTGCAATTACTAAGACAATATAGAAATATGGGTTAATCTCAGTTTACTACCTTGGTTTTCAACATTTGTTACATCAAGTATTTTTTTTATTCCAGAGTGGTACCTGAAATCATAAATTTGGGACACTTTCATACATCCATTAAGGTTGCTGTTAAATCAGCCGGTGACAAGGCGCCCACATGAACACTGATTGGACGCCACGTGTCAATATGGGCCCATGTAAATATTATAAAAAAAGGGTTAAAATATCTGGGCAGCCCAACCCTCCCTCCCTTCCCTCCTGCACCCACCCAACCCTCCCTTCTCTCCTCTGCGCCCACCCAACCCTCTTCAATCCCCCGCACATCCAACCTTCCCCCTCCCTCTTTGACTCCACTCTTCTCTCCCCTGATCCTTCCATACCCGAACAACCTCTCCCTCACCACCATACCCCAACCCCACCCATTTGACGGCCGGTGGTCAACAAAACCTAGATTTACGGCCGGAGAGTCACACCTACCAGATTTGACGGCGGTGAAGAACAAAACCCAGCGGCCGGAGAAGACAGTGGCGGGGAGCACAAACCCAGCAGCCAAAACGATTTTTTAATCTTTTCAAATTTTCTTTCGATTTTTGCATTGAACATGGCCTCTGTTCTGCCATCTGTTATGCAAGATTTGGTCTGATTTGGATTTTTTTTTTCTGCATTCGTTGTGGATTCGGATCCCAGGTGCCAAATAGGGACAAACAAAGTGAAAGGGGTTGGGTGGATATGAAAAGGGAGTACAGCGCTGCCCAGATTTTTATTATTTTTTAATCTTTAATGTCTAAATGCGCCCATATTGACACGTGGTGTTCACTCATTGTCCATGTGGGCACCACGTAACCAAATGTATGAAAGTGTCTCAAAATTATGATTTTAGGTACCATTCTGAGATGAAAAAAATTTGATGTACCAAATGTTGAAAACCAGGAAACTTCAGGGTAGAAAACTGAGATTAACCCTAGAAATATTATAACTGCTCTCATATCTAGAGTTATTGATGACCTCCATCAAAATGACAATCAGATAAATCTCAGGAAAGTGTATGACACTAAACAACTAAAGGCTCGTTTGGATGTGCTTTTAAAATAACTAAAAGCGCTTTTAGAGAACATATTTTTGGGTTTCAAAAGTACTTAAAATGTTTTCTATAAGAAGCATTAGTTATGTGCTTCTTCCAAGAAGCACTTAAAGTACTTTTTCAGGATTTACTTGCATCTTTACCAAAGATTAGTTCTAAAAATATCATGCAACGTTGCACCATGATTCGAAGAGTAAATTTTTTATGTCACTTTTTAATTCTCATGCCAACATTATATAATATTGTACTAAAAATATGAGGTGGCAGAGAGTCCATAGAGTCTCAATTTTGAGAGTGCATTTCTCATCGGCTAAACTCAACAAACTCTAAGATCGTTTCACTTTTAACAATTATCCAATAAATAAACAAACTATAATATTTATTAAACACTGAAGTTTTAACAAGGTAATAGAAAAATCAAACTATTTTTTATTTGGCTATTACAAAGTCTTACAAAAAGGAAAAAGAACAAACAAAACAAAATAAAATGCAATCTGGTGGAATGTCGTTCCATGCCTAAAAATAAAGCTAATAAACACACGGAGCGTGTCGTTTCGCCTAGTCACAGTCATTGTCGCTCATTACCTGTCTTGGCGCGAAGAAACGACACTTCTCAACTGCTTTTCAAAATCACTTGCAAACTCAAAGCTTCTCCCTGCAGAGTACAAGATGCAAAAGCCATTAAAACAACAATAATGTTATTCTTATCATATTTTTGTATCACAGTTCTATACCACCTTAGGCGGTATTTGATGTGAACAGCTACATCATCTAAATTAATTAGTATTTAATTTCAAAATGTTAATCAATAATTAATAAAAATATTGTTAATTAAATGATGATTGTGGTATACAAGGAGTCTCCTTCTTCCACCTAAGATTATTAAGTGTTTTAATTAATAAAAATATTGAAATTAAATGATATAGCTTGTCCAAACACATCTGTCACCTAAGATGGTAAAAAAATATGGTATAAAATTGTGGTAAGCATCAGTGACTCTTAAAACAATAATATCACATGATTTCAAAGCTACCCACCAACGTCCCGCCTCACCTGAGCCTTAGGTTCTTGAAAATCTACTGTAATTCCGGCGATTTACAACGTGCACGCCGCCTGTTCAATCAAATTCCCGAACCAGACCTGCGTGCGGGGACCGTGCTCATATCAGGCTACACGCGACATGGGTTCCTCAAGGAATCCATAGATCTTCTGCTTCTGTCAGTTGCTAAGGCGTGTGCTGCTCGTGGTGATGTTAGAAATGCTAAAGAGCTTCACGATGATGCAATTCGATTCGGGTTTCATTCGGATGTCTCTTTGGGCAATGCAATGGTCGATACGTTTGGAAAATGAAAGTATGTTGATGGGGCGAGAAGGGTTTTCGATGCCATGGCAGTGAAAGATGTGGTGTCTTGGACCTCTTTGTGTTCTTGTTATGTTAACTGCGGGATGCCCAGACACGGTTTGGAGGCATTTCGCGAATGGAGTGAGACCCAATATAGTAACAGTTTCTTCAATCCTACCTGCTTGCTCGGAGTTGAAAGATTTGAATTTGGAAAGAGTGATTCATGGGTTTCTGGTCAGACATGGAATGGAAGAGAATGTTTTGGTTAGCAGCGCCCTTGTAAATATCTATGCTAGTTGTCTGAGCACTAAACAAGCTCAGTTGGTATTTGATATGATGTCTAGACGAGATGTCGTGTCCTGGAATGTACATCTAACTGCGTATTTTTCGAACAGAGATTGCAAAAAGGGTGTAACTTTATTTTCTAGGATGAGAAGGGAAGGTGTTAAATTGGATGGTGCTTCATGGAATGCTGTTATTGGTGGGGTGCTTGAATAACGGGCAGACGGAAGAGGCGCTGAAAATGCTCGGACAGATGCAAGAATCAGGAATTAAGTCCAATCAGATCACAATTACTAGTTTGTTACCAGCTTGCAAAGATTTGGAGAGCTTGAGGGCAGGCAAAGAGGTGCACAGTTACATCTTTAGGAATTGTTTAATGGAGGACTTGGCTGTGGTAAGCCACGGGGATCCATTAGTATCGAAAACTCTCCTGGAGCAGGATCTTCTGTGCTATTCCAAGACGATCCATTACTTTAGTCTAAAGTAGGAGGGGGAACGGCACTGTGCAATTTTGCCTCAATTTCACTTTATTTACGAGCTTGCCTCAATTTTGCATTTCATTCTTCGTTCAGTGAGGGATTCGGGGAGGGGAGGCCATGCCGCTCTGGGATCGAGATAGAGAGACAGAGGGAAAGGGAGACAGAGGCAGAGCGACCGAGAGAGAGTGAGAGGGAGGAGTGGGGATCCTCGATTTCATGAGTGGGAGAGGGGGTACAGTCGGAGAAAAAGCATGGGGGCCGTCGGGATTTGAGGGGGAGGCGTCGGGATCGTGAGCGGGGGTCTGGGTTTGTCCCTTTGGACCGTTTGCGACCTCTCTTGGCGACTTACTCCAGCTTTCCGGTGATGGAAAAACTGTATCATTCACTCCTCAGGTATGTTACTTTTCGGTCATTGTTTTATTAATTCCAGTTCTCATTCTAATCTCTGTAAAGTTTGTGGCTTTGCTCTGTTTACTGTTTGAAGAGGAGATAGAAAGTGCAGCCTTTCTTCGCCTCTGAATATTGTCAGAATCTCTTCCCTCTTTTTTTTTTTTTTTTTTTTTTTGGAAAACTGGAGAACTAGTATTCCAGGGCACAGCCAACAAAGTACACACAAGAGGGTCCAATTACAAGATTAATACAAAGCAAAAGTGCACCCTAACCAAAGCCCAAGGAGAACTAAGTACAAGCACAAACGGGCCAACAGAGTAAAACAGAAAAGAGCCCAAAAGAGCAAAAGAAACCCTAGTCTTCTGCTTCCACCTCGCAAAAGAGCTAAACTTGTAATCATAAATATTTTTCTTGCAGACTTATAATTGCATGTCTCATTGTTTGCCAGCAAAAGACTATAAGCTTCATGTCAACCTTCCGAACACGTTTTCTGATGGTAGATTGAAGGATTAACAAGCACTTCAATGATGATCTACAGACTACCGAGGATCTATCAACGCAGTGCTGAAAGTATTCTCTGAACAAAGAAGCATCCTTGATGGTGATTCAGGGATGCTTTGTTCAGTGTAAAAACCGGGCTGCTTTGGAGGCGGCAAGGCAACATCACTGCTCAACATTAGAACCACAGATGACATGTTTGGTCTATCCTCAGGTACTCTTTGCACACATAATAGCCCCACGTGAAGACACCTTACCACTTCATATATGTTGCACAAATCACAAAACTTCTTATCGATCAGTTCTAGTGGTTTATCCTGAATCCATAGTATCCATGCCTTAAAACAAATTGAAACATGTATGATATGTTAGTGGCCTAATATGTAAAAGGTGCTTTGCTGCAAACCTTCAACACTGTGAAATGGCATGTCATTACAAGACGTGCTTCGAAGAGCACCGTCTAATTCACTATTCTTTTTAATGTAAAATATCATCACCTTGTTGGTTAAACTTACATGTCCAAGAAGGTTGTGGTTGTGATCTGGATGACGAAATCCCCTGTTCTTCTTCCTACTCAACATCTCGAGCAATATGACTCCAAAGCTAAACACATCAGATTTCATCGAGAAAATTCCATCTGCTGTATATTCCGGAGACATATAACCACTGCCAGATCAATATGCAGTGACCAGTGAGAAAGAATTTCAAAAGCAAAACAATCAAAATATAAACCACAAAACAAATCTAAGCATGCTTACTAGGTTCCAACCACTCTGTTTGTATTGGCCTGACTTTGGTCACCGCCGAATGTTTTAGCCAGGCCGAAGTCTGAAATCTTCGGGTTCATATTATTATCTAGCAAAATATTACTACATTTCAAATCTCGATGTATAATCCTTAATCTAGAGTCTTGGTGAAGATAAAGAAGCCCTCGAGCAACTCCACTGATAATGTGGAAGCACTTAGGCCAATCGAGCAATTTTTGTCCCTCCTGATCTGAAGAAACTTTAAGCTTGTTATGTCAATGCCACATTGAATCCTAGTATAATAAGGTTGAAAATGAAGGATCGTACCAAAAATATAGAAGTCCAAGCTTTTGTTGGGCATGAATTCATATATTAGAATCTTTTCATCTTTTTGAATGCAACAACCGAGAAGCTTAACAAGATTGCGATGCTGAAGTCTGGCTATGAGTATAACTTCAGTTTTGAACTCTTTCATTCCTTGTCCGGAATTCTTTGAAAGCCTCTTTACTGCAATTTCTTTTCCTCCTATCAGGGTACCCTATTGACCATCATTTCGAAAAGACTTAAATTTTGTATAGCAATTTAGCTAATTTTGATTGCATGAATTTATGTTACCTTGTACACAGGTCCAAAGCCACCTTCTCCCAGCTTGTTACAGCTTGAAAAGTTGTCAGTGGCTTTAGCTATGGTGGTCAAGTCAAACAGTGGTAACTCCATCTCTTCCCCGTCTTCTCCAAGGTATTCGTCTCTGCAATCCTTTCTTCTGTGTCCTGAAATAGTAGGAGATCTCTTCAGCGTGGACAAAAAGATGCGAACAGTTAGCTACACTATCGAAATTAAATACTACCTTATCTAATGCATTTTTAATGTGTCTGAAAATGGTTACCTTCATATCTGAGTTTCTTCATCCGTATGTACAATATCATTCCAACAAGCAATCCCACGAGAAAAACTGCAGAGCTGAGGAGAATTGCTAGTAGCTGTCTCTTGTTGAAATTGCTCTTTTTCTTAACATGATCTGAAATATCCGTATAAAACAAACTTTGCATGTGCTCGTAGTGTTCCAGTAACTGTGGTTCTAACATTAACTTATTTAAACCCTACTTTGCATAATTGCAGATAAGGGTCTAAGACGTACCTAGTTCTGAAGCTGCCACCCGTATATAGAGGTCTTGACCACCGCCGGGAGTGAATTCTTTTATGTCGATGAGGTTACCAAACCAAAGCACGCAGCCACTTCCTCCCTCCCTGATGTCTAGATTTGCACACGCCGTGCATGAGCAGTTTCCCCAACATAATCCCTTGCATTCACTAAGGCTCATGCTTTTATCAAACCATGAGGAGGATGTGTCTGGCAATTTAATCCCACTATACTTTACGAAGCCATCTCCATCGCTGCAGGCCAACGGAGTCCTTCGAACACATCCATCAGACCAATATCCCGAATTCCAATCTTTCAAAGATTTTGGTACAAATCCCTTCATGCATGCACATATTGCAGAGTTACTATTGATACTGCAACTAGAAAATGGACCGCACAAGGCATACTTTCACACCGATCTGCTAGGAATGAAAAGGCAAGTTCCCAACTCTGTGTTTGGGACACCCATGTGAACTTCTCTGAGACTCCTGATGGGTTCAATACATATCTCGAGAACACTGACATGTTCCGGAGCCTGTACTCATAATAGACCTCGTCCTTGTTCATCACAAATTCAGTCCCAGATATTGGATCTGGATGTGTGACATCATATCCGTATCCTGTCAAATAAAGGCCATTCCATGACCCTCGTCTGGCTTGTATCTTATCTCCTTTCATAATTAAAAATTGTGGTAAGCCACGCAGATCCACTCGTCCCGAAAACGCTCCCGGAGAAGGATCTTCTGTGCTCTTCCAAGACGAGAGATACCTCTCTAAACCGGTAACCAAGTCCCAACCAAGCTTCATTTCCGGTAGGTATGTGTCACAAGGATAATCAAAACTCTGCCACAAGAAGTTATCCGGGTTAGTTTCTTTCCCATCTTGCACCACAAGATTTCCAGAATCCAATAGTTGCGATACTGGATTCCCCGCAATTCTTGATGAATTCGATGACCACACAATGCTGTTTGAGCTATTCAGGAGGACTAGAACTCCTTGCTCCGTGAGCTTCAAAAGTCCTGAAGAATCACCAAGTGGTGTTTCTCTGTTGGCCACCCACACAACTGCATCAGCAGAAGCAGTGTACCATATTCCCAAGTACCGGCTTTTCGATTTACCAGGGCTGAAGAATCCCAGTTCATAGCTTCCACCTACTGAAACCAGAGTTTCGCCATCTCTTATATATCCACTCGGAGTGATCGTGACCAGTGCAGTTGCAGCTGAGATTCTTTGGAGGGAGAATAAGAAGAACAAGCACATAAAAACACTTGTCAAGGCTTGCATCGTTGTTCTGAGATTGCATGCTTTATCCAAAGAAATTAATACAAAAAATTATGCAGAGAAGATGGAAAAATCAAAGTAAATTCAAAGACTTGGGTTTCTTGATTGACCCAACACCTTTGGTTTGGCAAGTCAGCCATGGACTATTGACAATTTTGACTCAACTGAGTTGACAGCTGACACTGTTCACATCTCCAATGGTGGATTGCCAAACGACTATTTGTACCAAGTTTATTTATTAAATATGTCTGTATTTGAGAAAATAAATAATGTTTTTGTATATATGTCAAAGTTCTACGTGTAAAAAATAAATGACATACATGGCGAACTGTTGAAATTCAAACCATAGGGTTATGCAAACGATCATTTGATAGCATCTTGTCTTCAATTTATTTGGAGAGGTTACGAGTTCAAATTTCAAAGAGAAACGTGTTCAAATTTTAAAGAGGAATGTCAACGTCTTCTTATTTGAAATTTTTTATTCTACATTACTGACTTTTTTTTTATCGTGCAATGTTACAAAATGGTCCACACTGTAGATTTTTTAAGTCATTCTTCAAAGGTCAAATCTACTAAAAATTAACCAATTTTAAGATCGTTTAGCTATTTAACAAGTATCAAATAAATAAACAAACTGTGATTCTATTAAACATTAAAATTTTAAGAACGTTAATCGAAAGATCAAACTATCTTTTATTTGACTATTACGAAGTCTTACAAAAAGGAAAAAGAACAAACAAAACATAAAATGCAATCAGGTGGAATGTCGTTCCATGCCTAAAATAAAGCTAATAAGCCTACGGGGCATGTCGTTTCTTGCCTAGAAAGTCATCGTCCGCTTATTACATGTCCTGGCGTGAAGAAACGGTACTTCTCAATTGCTTTTCAGTACTAGGCCTATAAAAAGGATCGAGGCTTGATGGGCCGGCTTAAAGCCCAACCCTATTTTTTGGTGGTGGGCTAGCCCGATACAGTTTTAGAGTCGAGCTTTATCCAACCTGATTTAAAATGGGCAGGGCCTAAACCTTGCCTTTTAAGCCTTGACATCTTTAGACTACTTAGTACGTCCCATGTAATTTAAATATTTTTTTTTTTGAACAACGATATTATCTACACTAAAAGGGAGGGGATTTGATCTACATATTTTTGTATGCTATAAATTGTGTAGTCTAGGCTTCAGATCCCGTCCATTCCTCGTTTTGCTAGAACTTTAGAAAGTAAAAATGAGGTCCGAGTGAAAGCAAAACACACTGTGTTTCCAAATTGCAGCTACGAGGTGCCTCATGAGAAAGACATCGTGATATGCATTTACTGTTTTCAGCTAGTTTGTAATTGATCTAATCTCTCTTCCCCTTCAATCTTATGATGTTGCACGAATGGCGAGGAGCAGTGCAAGTATCTTGTAGAGTACATGGAAAACGATGCTGGAGGCAGCTTTTGTAATTTGAACGTGGTTCCCGATTTTGCTGGTATTAATAGATTTGTTACTGGAATCCGAGTCACCCTTTCTTTTACTCTTAGATATACAACAACAACAAAGCCTTTTACTCTTAGATATAAACAAGAAATAATCAAAATTTGTTTATGAGTAAGATTGAGATTAGGCGGAAGTGTTATGTCTATACGCTAGTTTTCTAGTACTAGAGATCCTTCTTTAATTTTCTAAGTTCCAAGTTTCCTACATTGCTGCTAGCACAATCTCCTATTTGTTTGACAATGATATAGATTGTTTTTCTTCTTTGGTGGAGAATAGCCAATAAAATGATAGCATGTTTACGTATTTAGAATAGGAAAAGTCATGTTTACTTACTTGGACGGAAAAAGTCGCGAATTGAACAAGTTGGAAT